AAACGAGTTATAGAAGAAGAGAAAAGAGAAGATTTTTAACGGTTTTTTCGATATATCTCGAAAAGTAACAAAGCAATCGATACTTTCAAAAAATCAGTCGATAGATCTTTTTAAAACCTACAACTTTCTCATTTAAAATTTTTCAATCCGTGCTATATTTTTTTAGTTATTTTAGAAAAACCGTTTTTTTCAACTTTGCGATTTTTTTTAACCGTGTTCGCCATATTGGATCGAGTTTAAAGAACAAGAAACTCAATTTAAAATTTAATTTTCTATACGATCATATTTTTTTTGTCCAGGTAATAATTTCTGTAAGCATTTCTCTATAATGCTTGGACTAATAAAATAGTTGTAGTTATTAATCTCAGTCAATTCACATTTTCCTCGGCGTATTTTAAGTTAAATTTACAGCAATGACCTCTAGAGGAGCAAGATCCCACACGTAGACCGCGTATCGCGCGTGTAGCAATTTTGTAGTAATTTTTTTTTTTTCGTCACCAAAGACGCCTCGTGTCTCAAACAGATAATGATAGATAACACTATCTAAAGTATGTTTATATTTGTTTAACTTTAATAAATCAGACAGGGCCAACTCCCAAAGATACGATCTTACTGAAATAACAACCACTTTTGGCGCTAAAACCCCTCTTTCTGTTTCAGATCGATTGGTCCTCGTCAGTTCGTCGAAGTTCTGCATTTTTTTTTACCCAAGGGTGAATTAACGCTAAAGGAACATTTCAAAGTCGTGAACGGTTAGAAATAACAACGAACAAAACGGTGGTGATTCGGTATAAAAAAATAATCGTATCGGGAAATTGTGTCGTAACCGCGAGTCAAGTGTTCGAGACTCAAAAAAGAAGATTCCGAAGGACTCTGTTTTGGCGCTGATAGGAGGAAGAAAGAGACATTTTCATGGTTTTCATGGTGAGTACCTACTATAAGTTTCTATACCATAAAAAGTCAAGAAAACCATTCAAAATAGCTAAGTAAAAGCTATATTTTCTGGCATATATGAAATCGTTTATGCTGCAGACCTTCAAATAAATTATCCCCAATTCCAATTGCTCACAGTAAAATTAAAATTTATAATTTACAAAAAATGCAGATACAGTGTAGGAAAGTACCGATGGTCTATCAGAAGTTACGTGAGAGCGATAAAGTAAGCCATAGAAATCCATGTGATAGACAAGGATGGCTATAATGAAGGCGTCTAATAGTCAACGCCCATTTCGCCCTTCCACAAATAAGAAGTGGATCTTATTTGTGGAAGGGCGAAATGGGCGTTGACTATTAGACGCCTTCATTATAGCCATCCTTGTCTATCACATGGATTTCTATGGCTTACTTTATCCCTCTCACGTAACTTGTGATAGACCATCGGTACTTTCCTACACTGTATATGTGTTACATTCATTTCGCTTTCTTTTCCAATACAAATCTAAAAAACAAAATATAAATAAAATTGTATTTTTATTCACTAAAATCACGACTAAGATTAATTTTGAGATACTTATCTCACATAATTTTTAGTCGTTTCAGGAGAATAATTGACATTGAAATAACATATTGGATTTACCAAAGATGTAGCTGTTGTAAATGTTATTTTCATAAATCATCTGGTTATATTTGAAGTTACAATACTTCTGCGTATATTTTTGAATAAAATTTAAAGTACAATTTAACCAATTTCATCCGACTGTTTCCAGACGTGAGAGCGCATATAAAAAGTTGTGGGAATTACATACACTCGCTAGAGAAAAATGGGTAAAACCCCTGATATATTACACGCTACCTTTAAATGTACTAAAACACAATTATTTACATAAACGTGTATTTATTTTTTCATTATTTTATTAATTATTTACTTATTTTCTTTTGTGAATTTAAAATTTTGTTTGAAATGTATTTTTGCGAGAATGTACCTACGACGTTTATTATATGAGTTCCGAAATAAAATATGCTCCAAGGCTACTCCTATACTTGGCCACTGCCCATCCGACCTTCACTGGTCAAATGAGATTAGTTGAAGTGTAAACAGTAGGGTGGTCCAAAAAAAAACGATTTTTTTTTCGTGTCTTGCGAAAATATGTTAGTTTATCATGTTTTAAGAGTCCTCTCATAAAATCAGCTCAAAAAAATGTTTTAGAGGTCGCTCAAGATTTTTAAAAAATTTCCAAAATCGTCAAAAATTCAATTTTTTTTTTAAATTTTCTTTTCGTTATTTTATCATTTTCTAGGTTGAAAAAAATCTCGATTCTGAAAATTTCAAATCGATATTTTAATTTCCAAAGATCACTCATAATTATTTTAACTTTCAGTGCTTTCGAGCGACCTCTAAAAATAAATATCAACGAACTAATCATTTGTTTTATTGAATTTGATGAACAAAAGAATAGAAATGAGTCACGAGACACTTAAATTTAAAAAAATTATAAATATTTGATACAGTACGGTGGTAAATTTTGTATCGAGAAAGTTTTTGAGTGTCTCGTGATTTATTTCTATTCGTTTGTTCATCAAATTCAATAAAATAATTATTAATTCGTTGATATTTATTTTTAGAGGTCGCTCGAAAACATTTTAGGTGCACTACTTTTAAAGTTAAAATAATTATGAGTGACCTTTAGAAATTAAAATATCGATTTGAAATTTTCAGAATCGAGAAATGATAAATTAACGAGAAAAAAACTTAAAAAAAAATCAATTTTTGACGATTTTGAACATTTTTAAAAATCTTGAGCGACCTCTAAAAAAATTTGTTTAGAGCTGATTTTTTGAAGGGGCTCTTAAAACATGATAAACTAACATATTTTCACAAGAGACACGAAAAAAAAAATTTTTTTTTGGGCCACCCTAGTAAACACCTGAAACTATGTCCCTACATATAAAAAAGTGAGATATACAATGCGGCCTATTATAAAGCAGGGCAAGAGCAATGATTTTTTTATATGCGCGTTCTCGGACAGATGAAAAAGAGAAAAATATTGATATACAATATGTCCTATTAAAAACTTCTCAAATTTTTTTTTAGGACACGATTCTTTTATAAAAGACAAAAATGTTAAAAAATTAATTACGATTATGAAATAAATTGTGCTATATTTTTAAACGCCTTGAAAATTTAAAAAAATTTGATTTTATTCACCGGTAAAGCGCCATTTCAGTATGAGAAATTGCAAAATGTTACTTAGAATAATAAATAGATAATAAGAAGAATAAGTTTGTCAGGATGAAAAATTGAGTATTCGTGCAAAGCTTCAATGCCTTAGGCCTACTTTGATTTTTTGCTTGACTCAGACATTTTCACTAGTAAAGAGCCTCTTTTGTATGAGATAGAACAAAATGTTATTAAGAAAAGTTTATCAGAATGAAGAATTAAGTACGTATGCAAAATTTTAGTGTATCGAAAAAATTTATATCGAATAAAGTATCATTTCAAAGTAGGACCAGGTCATTAAAATTGTGCACTGCACACTTACCCAGTTTGTTATTCCGAGAACCTTTTTTAGTAATATTTTGTGATATCTTATGCAGAAAGGGCACTTTACTAACGAAAAATTTCGAAATTAAGCAAAAAATAAAATATTGAAATTTCTGTTTGTCGTATCTGATACAAAAACGCCAATTTACTGATGAAAAAAAAAATAATGTGATAATGGCAGATTGTGTTTTAAAACATGTTTCAATAACCACGTTTTTGTATGATAAGTCTTTCTTGCTCTTTTAGAGACTATATAATATACTTCTAGATTTACTTCTTGAAAATGAGAAAATATTATTAGGGTGTTGTGATATGAGTATCACCTCTCAGTAACATAATTTTGTGACACCTCGTATAAGTAGGCAACAGTTTTAATATTCGTATTTCGTGCCAAAGTATTTCCTGCTTATCACCTCTGACATCGTAGGAAGGAAATTGTATTCATAGTTTTCAATTGAACACAATAGGAATACCTACCCAAAATATTTCCTTACGATATGTTCACGAACTCTAAGAATTTTGAACAAATTAACTGAAAATGTGTACCACCAAAAGAAGTCGTTACTGATGATTGTCGCAAACGTCCCACTTACGCCCTGATTTGTGTTCTAATCGTATTGCATCTAGTGTGTCATGAATATTATATTTTCGGATCGAATTTCATAATAGAAAATACGAATTATCTAACATGTGGCTAAAGCTGTTGTCCATCTAAAACCTGTACGGTTTCCGTTTTATACCGAATTTATTCATTTATTCAAAAATTATGTCTGAATCTGCTTAGTTGAAGAACAAGACTGAAAGATGTCTGGTTTATAAAACGTATCGAAATGTTCCTGTTTAGCATAGATTAAGTTATATAACGCTTTCGAACGAATCAAGATGCAACAAAGCAACGAATTTACACAGACCACTTACAAATTTTCCAAGTATTATAGTAATTTTAGTCGGAATATGTTTAGATAAATTCTTATCGCGAAATAAGACGTACACAAACTAATGGATTTTATAATAGTTGAGTGTTTAGTTTGTCAGGGAATGATTCATACACTATTTTTAAAAGAGTAGAAAAATGAAGTATTTTTATAAATTGAATACCAAAAATTACATTCCGATATTGTATCATCCTTTAAATGGTCATTTTAGAGGAAAAAAACGCGCGGTGCTATTAAATTAAAGGATGGAAATTGGAGATAGGGGTGAAATTGCACCCCTTTCAGTTTTTCTATTGCAGCTCGAAAACGAAGCAAAATTTCGCTATAATTCATAGGAAAAATTATTTAGAGAATTGAATTTTCCATCGAAATGGCTTATTTAAAAAAATTAAAAGGAACATTTTATGCAAAGAATCGTTAATAAACAATTTGAAAAAAAAGCAAAAAATTAGATTTACTCATATTTATGATTGCAAGATTTTATTTGTTGAGGAATAGTGAGGAATTTACTTAGAGCCTCTTACGAAGTTGGTATGACACAAAAAGGGAGAATCACAGCAGATTCTTACATTACAAACAGTTTAGAACCTCATGTAATGCTTTTTGTACCTTTTATGACAGATAATTTCATTCTCATGCACGATAATGCTGGACTATATATACTGTGCAAATTGTAGAACAATATTTTACCGGCTTTAATATTTCCACAATGCTATGGCCAGCCAGAAGTCCTGAACTGGACCCCATTGATCACTTTTACTGACTGGCGTAAATGCACTATAATGTTGAACGCTTAAGAATATCTACAAATGTCTAATACCCCGTTATTCTCAGCAATGTTTTGTGTACTATCCAAAATTATTACGTTAGTTCTATAAAAATTTTTAGATATGTGCGAATCATGTTCCGTTAAAATTAACTTCCGCTTATGTGAGTGTGAATATGAGTGAAATGTGAAACAAATATTTTTTCTTGTTCAATTGTTGCATAAAGTGGTAGACGATAAAAAAATCCCAATGAACCATTATTGACAGGTTCTTTTGAATACAATTTATTTTTTGTTGATTAGTATTTAAATGACCTCCTTTCAAAGTACCAAATCCGCAAAAACACTGGCTTTTATAGAAAAAAAAAAAACGAACAGTAACAGTAATTTCCAATTTATTGGGTGTGACAATCAAGGGAGGCGTAAAGGTAAAAGTTTGAGAACCGCTGTTGCGCAGCTATGAAAAACCAACACCGTCTGTTTTTGCTGCGACTAGGTGTGATTTCTAATTTTCCACTCGTAATTAGATTAAACACAAATAGTAATTAAACAGTAATTAGTGCAAAACCTTATTTCTTTTGTCTATTTGCGATAAACTTGGTTGGCAAATCTTGGACGGCGTTGTGCAAACGACCAATCATGCGTTTATATATGTAACTTTAGCACTGGCCACAGCTTGACATTAGGGCACTTTCAAAATATTTGCGTAAGATGTTTAGCGATCTTTGTCATTTTTGTAGCA